ACAATCCCCCTCTATTCTCTTTTCTCTGTCTTCTTTAGAATCACTTGCAATATAAACCAATATAAGCCAATTGAAACGTATCTAACCGATGATCTGGCTTCGAAGCGGCTACTGAGTAGCGTGGTCCTAGACCATCGTGTCCAGGAGGATACACCCGTGTGTTTTGAAAGATCCTCAAGCCAATATACTTGTCATCGTGACCGAAAGCGTTAGGACAGGTACGTTTCCGTCCTCCTAATTCCAGGTTTAATCCTCACACGTCCGGTTGTTATCCTACGTTCACAGTCGTGCCACTTATGGATATGACGTCTTATGTCTTCTCGGCAATATCTTAAATGCTCAGAGAAGTGACACCTTCTGACGAGAGGAGAGTATGTGTGTCACACACACGGGGACGCACACACTCTGTTTGCCCGGAGTGCTGTGTAGGTTACCATGTCCAGTTATACTTTAGGTCTAGCATGCACATAGGAGAGAAAGCAGGTGCCGTTGGTGGGTCGGTCGGTCGGCCTGTCTGTCTGTCTTCCCCTGGCATCACCTGTTCTAGGTTCTTCTCCACCGCCGCCCCCCCCCCCCCCGCGCACTCCTAGTCCATCAGATCTACTTCCCTGTAACTGACATAATCTTATTCCTATTCTTTGGGGAATGGGTGAATAAGCTTTTACCTTGTGGATACTGTACACACACCCCGTAACGCGCGCGCGTGCGTGCGTGCGTGCGTGCGTGCGTGTGTGTGTGTGTGTTGACGGAATAGAGTGTTTGCCATGCCTGACCCCCTGGCTCTGCCTCTCTACCCGTCTGTGATGCGATGTGTGTGCTGGGGCACTTCTGCCTGCATATGTTCCCAGTGCGAACTCCAAAGAGAAGTACGCCCGCCCGCCGGGCCCGTGGGTTCTAACCATGCTTCACCCCCGGGAGATAGGATCGCCCCTCTGACGCCTCCACTCTGTTTGGGCCGGGGCCCCTCGTCTGTCTCTCCCTGTCTTTCCTCCTGGGGTTCCCTACCTGCCCTCCCCCCAGTCCCGCACGCGTGCGCGCGCGCGCGCGCGCGCGCGCACACACACACACACACACACACACACACACACACACACTGTGCACCGCCACGCCCAGGTCCAGGTCCTCCACCACAGGCGTGTGAGTGATGATGCCGCTACCCTCCAACACCTGTGTGTAGGGTTTAGATTCATCGCCTCGTGCCCCGAATCCTGTTCCAGAGAGAGTGGCGGAGCCTATTAGAAAAGGCTAGCTGTCTGGACAGGCTAGAGTACGAACCGGTGAGCAGGTCGTTCCGTCGGGTGCCCGGGGATAAGCGTCACACGGGTGCCACCTCCCCTTCCTTCCCCACCCAGCCAGCGGCTCTCGTTTGGCTTTCCTGTCATTTAGTGATGGGTGAGTGGACTCACGCTTCCCCACGGCGCTGTCACCTTGGTTTTCCAGACCTGTGTGCGTGACGTACCTACTCTCTCTGTGTTAGAAGAAACCTCTCTCGGGCCTTCCCCCTGCCCTTTCCCCTGCCTGTGAGGGGTGGCGGGTGGGTGCGAGGGGAGGGAGTGTGTTGTGGGGCGGGCGAGCAGTGGACTTTCACAAGTGAGCGGGGTGCCTCCCGAGGGCTCGTCTCTTGCTGGAGCCGACCCATCTTTGGGAGTTTTTTCTTTCTTTCTTTCTTTCTTTCTTTCTGGTTTCCATCTGGGGGAAAAAGAAAAGAAAACGTACAACCCCCCCCCCCCAAAAAAAAAAAAAGACGGGCAGCCAGACGGTGGGACGAGCGCTCACTTGCCCTTTTCTGGCCATGTTGGGCGGGGGTGGGGGTCTTGCCACGGGCGGCGGAGGTCGTGCGGGTGGCCGGTTCGTTTTCTCTCGTGGTGCAGGCCTGCCGTCTTTGCCGCCCCTTCCTGCTTGGGACCGATCCCGGCTTCCCTTTTTCTCGGGTTCGGGCCGCTCCGTTCGGGCGAACCCCGTCCTGGTTCCTGGTTTCACTTTGGTCGCCGGCGGCGGCGGCGGCGGCGGCGGCGGCGGCGGCGGCGGCGGCTCGATCTCGGTCTAGGTCTCTGGTGGCTCTGGTGTCGCTCGTGAGGTCGCAGAGAGGACCCGGCTGCGGGTCCTGACCTAGGTTGTGCCTCTCGGTGCGTGGCGGTGGGGAGTGAGGCGATTTGTTTCCGTGTTCTGTGTCTCCGGAGCTCTGAGCCGGCCGGCGCGCGCCGATCCGGGGTACGGCGGCTCGGTGGAGTCGGTCGTTGGAAGGCGGTTGTCGTGCTCCCCCTGGCGTCCGCTTTGATATGACAGTCCCCTCGTTCTCAGCCGAGCGAGCGAGTGAAGGAGGAGGTCTGGCGGCAGCGAGCCGGGCGGAGGCCCGGCCTCTGCCGGGTGCCGGGCGCGACTGTCGCCGTGGTGTCGCTGTGGCGCCGGGGCGGCTGTTCTGTCGGACTTTGCGCCCGCAGGCGAGCGCGGGGTGGGGCCGTGCGTCGCCCGCTCTCTCTTCCGTGCCCGGTCTGTGCGGGGGTGGCAGCTTTGTCGGGTCGA